CGAAGTCGAGCTCTGGAGCAGGAGGAAATGGGCCGTGTAAATGCAGACCCGTCCGGGCATTGAAGTGACGGCCCCGTCGGGTCCTGCAGAAGTCTCTTCACCGAGTGGACCTTTAGACAGACACTCTGCCATTAAATCCAGTCGTGCAGAATCTGTCTGTAGTCATGGCCAAGTTCGACTCGGCTGCCATCACAGCTGTCGTTTGATTCTTCCTCGGTTTGGACAAGACTTTCTCTGCCCCTGGAGCTCACTCCCTGAGGCAGCACCTCACGCTCCAGAACATTCCATTTCTAAAAGCACAGCCTGTCCTGTGTTCTGTGTCCTCGGGGCTGAGCCACACACTGACGAGCCCAACACGGAATCCTGGGGTCGTCACGCTGAAAGAGGCCAGGGGGGAATTACATGGATGGGATTTAGTGAAGAGCTCGCTGAGGGATGTGTGTGCACACATACGCATGTGTACACAAACATATACACGTGTACACACCCCCTCCCACCCCCAGAAACAATACAGGGTCGCTTTTGTGGAAGTCGTCCCTGTCACTCCACATCGAAGGCTTAATCCCTCTAAAGACCTGCCGGCAACTGTCTGAGCCAGACCCAAAACATAGCTGCGCACCGGAGAGGAGGGACGCACGAGCCATTGTCCTCCTCGGGGATTTCTGCTGAGAGTCACACTTTATTCGAGGCCCCGAGTCCGTGTCAGATCTTGGAATTCAGTAATTTTTTCAAATGAAAATTTTTGTTTTGAGCTCATGAGACAGTCACATGCAGATGCAAGAAATGCATGTGGTACTATTTTTTTAAAATTAGGGAACAATGGCCATATAACATCACGTTCATTTCAGGTGTCCAACATAATATTTGGACATTTGCATGCGTTGTGAAATGCTCACCATGACAAGGTAGCATGTGTCACTGCACACAGTTATGATGTATTTCCTTGTCATGAGCGTGTGTAGGACCTACTCTCTAGGACATGAGATGCAGTGTTGTTAACCGCAGTTGGTACTTTTTGACCCACCCCCCACACCCATCTGGCCCCCTCCCCACATCGTAGACCATAGATACATTCAGTAGGTACTGACTGGGGTAGATTGATAAAACCACCGTGGCTTGCGCCTTACCAGAGGTCTCTCGAGGGAAATATGTGTGGAAATTCCTGGGCCCAGTGCCAGAAAGGCAGTCTCCTGGGTCCGTCAGCGACTTTGTACTTTGTTTCTTACGCGTTTCTCCTTTCAGGTCATCTTCTACATACTTTTTGCACAGGCAGCGAGCACTTGGCCTGTTATGATTTTGCTGTTGTGAATTTGTGTGTGTGTGTGAGGAACAAACGGAATGCTAGTATTCCTGACCCCACGGTGTGGGGTCAGGAGTGAGGAGTTAGCAGAGCTCCCGGCTGGGGAGGGGGAGAGCTGGGCAGCGGCACCTTCCAGAAGACCCCCAGCCGCTGTGCTCCCTCGTGCACTGGAAGGAGTAGTGCAATGCACTCGGAGGAGAAGTGCAAAGGATTTGCTCCCCCGGCGCAAAAGAAGTGACACCGCCTTTAGCCCAGACCTCCCCAGCAAACTCCATTTATCATCCTTCCATCTCCGAGAATCCTGACAGGCAAGCAGGCTGCTGCCTCAGGACCGCCTTGTGGCAAAGGACGACAGCCCACTCCCAGGGAACCATGAATCTGGCATTTGAAGTGGATTGAGAAGTAAAACAAAACAAAACCAAAAAAGGCTTAAGAAGCTAAAGTTTGGGAACCAGTTAGCCAGGTCCTGGACTTCTTGAAATGCAACTCATCAGCATTGCAATGAAGCTGACCTCTTTGCGGAAGTTTCAGGAGAAGGATGGTATTTTCTTTTTTTCCTTTTAATGTGATAAAAATTCACTCTGCCAGCCGAGCATGTACTGGGGAGTGAAGGCAGGTTACTTTCTCGGGATGGGACGTGTTAGAGTTTCCCTCCGGGGAGCTCTTGGTGCCGGCTACAGCTTTGACAAAGCCTTCAGCCGAAAGATGCTTCAAGTCCGAAATGCACAGTTTACAAGTGGAGGGCATGGGCTGCTGCCCTCAATTCCACCAGGGGGCACGGAGCCCCCTAGCACGCAAGGCAGAGAGGGGTCTCGAACTTGCTGCTTAAATATCTTGACAGGCAAGATCCCCTCACTCATCCTCAGGGGCAAAAAGTCACATAACTTCTCCTAAGATGTGTTTATACTAAGAAAATAAAATTCTGTAATTCTGAGGAAGGCAAAGAGTGCGTTGCACAAAGAGGAAGAACAATAGAAAGAATTCTCTTGGTGAAGCTGTTCTGGGAGGTTTTAAAGCTTTGTTCTTCGCGGTCTCATAGGAAACGCCGAGAGCAGACCTGGGGTGGTTTGCCACCCACAGACGCGCGTGTTTGAGGCTGTGATGAGCAGAATGGACTCTCAGGGCCAAGGTGAGGCCTTGGGTCTCAGTTGCTGCAAGATTGAGGGCACCTAATAGGAGAAGGGAAGGAGCAAACCAGGAGAGTCAAGGCCAGGTGTGTAGAAGGTTGGGGCGGGGCCGGGGTCAGGGAAGACCAATGCTGGTGGATGCAAAGTCAAGTTCTTTGGATGTGGACAGCAAAACTACTCTGTTGCTTTGCATCCCACCCTCCTACCCCAGGACCCTACACCTGAACTTCCGGGTGTGGGTTCATCCCACTGTGTTGTCGTACATCCTTCCTCCCTGACATTTCGTAGAGGGAAAACCCGGTGACGTGGAGCATCCAGGGCAGACCTACAGGAAGCAGAAGGGCGAGGCCTCCTAGGGCCCAGAGGTGTGGAAGCAGACCTCCAGCTCTGACTCCCCTGGGGCTTGTGCGTGTTGGCCATTTGGTTGCTGCAGGCCCCGTGTACCACCCACTCTCTCTCCAGCCTCCACCGCTGACTCTTCCAGCTTCTCCTCCGACTGGCCCAATCCCGTTGTCTTGAGGATGGGGTCAGCACGATGGCCAGTGCCCAGAGCACGAGGGAGGGGCAGGGGTTTGACAGAGCGGCCCCAGGGCTGAGTTGGGGCCCAAGTCTGGGAGGAGAGCACAGTTCTTGGCCTCGGGCTGGATAACAGGTCTCTCCTCCAGGTTGCCTTACGATCGGGGTCGCCAGGCTTAGCAAACAAAAGCGCAGGATGCACCGACATGCATGGCAACTCGGCAGGACCTTGAAGTCGTGTTAAGTGAAAGAAGCCAGCCTCAAAAGACCACGTGTTGTGAGAGTCCATGTATGTGAGATGTCCGGAGTGGGCGAAGGCAGAAAGACAGAAAGTTCATTAGCAGCCGCCTGGGCTGTGGAACAGGGAGACAGGGAGGGGGTGGGGGTGACTGTCGTGGTGGCAGGGCTGCTCCTTCAGGCCACCAAAGTGTTCTCACGTGGGATCGTGGTGACGGTTGCGAAACTCTGTGAATGTTCTGAAAACCACTGAGTTGTACAGTTAGAGTGGTGGAATTTTATCATACGTGAATATCTGGGTAACGCTGTTTTAAAAATGCATATTACCAAGTTAAATTTGAATTTTGCATAAACCACGAAACTTAGAGCAACGATATCTTATTTAATATTTGGGACATATGTACACTGAAGTTATTGTCATGGTTTATGCAAAATTCAAATTTAACTCAATATCCTGTATTTTAGGTGGCAGCCCTACTTATGATTCAAGTGAATGTCCCAGAAAGCACTAATTCGTAGTCAAAAATGGAGAGAAATGGTTCATGAGATGTCATTTAAGTGAGATTTAAGGGGACCCTTACCTACTTTGGGTCAAAATGCTAAACAATTAAATTAACCAAGACCAAGACCTTCTCATTTGACCACAGTTATTGTCTAACAATCTGGGTGCGGCTGCCAAGGCAGAGGGGTTCAGGAAGGAAAGAAATAGTGTTTCAATTCTTTACTAAAAATTTACAAAAGTGATAGAAAATGTGTAGAAGGGAGAAGAACTGGGTATTTTATAAGCACGTTCTAATCTTCACACTTTATGAATCTTGCCATTGAATTTGAGACAGTTTGAGGGAAATTCTCAAGTGTGAATCTTACATGTTTTTGACTTGTTCAAGTATATGACAAATGATTATAAAATATTTATTACATGACTATTATACAATGAGATTTGCTACAAATATTGTCATGTTTTATAAAAGAAAATGAAGGTACCTTCCAGTAAAGTGTTTCTATCATAAACATTACACAAGGTCTGTCCAGAAGGTATCCAGCCATGTATATAAAAAATAGAGACATTTATTGAAGAAGATACAAGGTACAAGAAACACTGTACACAGGATAATGACGCCTCAGTCCCCTTCAAAGTAGGCACCTCGGGACCTCACACAGTTCTCCCAGTCATCAGCTGCCCCATCGTATTTTCCTGAATCTCACTGACAATCTGGAATCTCTTCTCTTTCAAAGGTGATTTTAGTTTTTCAAAAAGCCATAAATCTCAGGGAGCCAAATCTGGGCTGTAGGGGGGCTGAGTCACCTGGGTGATTTGCTGATTTGCCAACAAACTCTGCATGAGATGTGATGCATGAGCAGGCACATTGTTGTGAAGAAGCTGTCAATCACCAGCTGCCCGTAGCTGCAACCTTCTGAATCGTCTGAATGGTTTCTGTGGAGGAATGTTCAAGCTTAACAAAACTTGATGCAGATTCATTCATTGCTCTACTTGTTCAGTCATTTTGAATGCAACAGCCACACAGTACACATGCTCACTCAACTGTCTCTACCTCCCTCACTGACTAGTACAGTGAAGTCATCACTGTTCACACATGCGCATTCCAGTCCATTCTCCTTGGCTTCCAGGTTACATGGGTGTCATGTAAATTGTTCTCATTATATTAACAACGGTTGGACTTTTTCTGGACAGACTATATATATACATATATATATATTTCCGTGGATGTTCTGCATTTATTTTGAAATTATATCTCAGTTGTAAATTCTGGTAAGCAGAACTGTTTAAGTTTGCTCTTGCATCTTTGCTACCTTTACAGAATGGCGACACCCCAGCTTTGACACTGGAAAATCCAGCATAAAATTGCCGTAGTAGCATATGTCAGTGCAGGATTATGAAGCCTGAGGGGGCCACGGAAGACACCAGGATCTTCAGGCATAAAGACGATAACGTATGTGTGCATGATTACAACCTCCATTTTACAGGTGGGGCAGCTAAGGCAGAAGCAGGGTAAGCTTTTTGCCCTCAGTCCCACAGCTAATAAGAACCAGACCCCAGCTCATGGGCCATGAAAGCCCTTGACATTGACTGCTTCTCTCCCTCATTTCTCCTGCAGAGAGCCTTCCCCACTGGACACCCAAGTGAGCACTCCTTTCAGGGGCTACCTCAGGCTTCAGCGGTCATCTGCACCCCAACTGCACCTTTAACTGTGTTGCCCTTACTGACTGTTATCCCCTCCAGATAAATGCATGGAAAACTCTGACAGCGAACGCAGACCTTTCTTGCACGCTCACCCCAGCTGCTAACAGGGCACATGCGGCCGGCAGCATGGGACTTCCTGTTCTGTCGACTGAACGAACGCCTTGCACCTCCCGAGCAAGTGGAGTCTGAGCAGCACTAGAGCTGAAAGCAATCTTTTCCCAGTTGCTTTTGTCAATTCTTTGAAATGCACTGAGGAAAAGGGACAGCAGCCAAGACGAGCCTGCGGAGGGGGGGGGGCGTGCGCCCCTCTGGGCATCATCCCTCTGTCCAGTCGGGGCGGAAAGTTGGGGAAGAGAGCGGGTCAGTGCTGAAGGGGCGGGAGGGCACTCGGCGTTTAGATCTGCTCCGAAGGAGGACCTCTCCAGAGGGACCTGACGGGTTTCTGTAGCTCATTCAGCTGCGGGAAGGACTCAGAGACTTGAAACGTCAGGCGCAGACGCTGTGTTTTCGCATGCCCCTGAATGAAAGGACCTTTGTGACTGTCGTGTGGATGTATTTAATATTCAGCCTGCAGAAGACGGAAGGTGGTCTATGACCTTGAGGGGCAGGAGGCCCCGCCCGCCTGCCATCATTTGGCATTAGCTGTTACTGGATCCCACAAAAACATCAGAAAGGAATTTGTTTTGTGGTTGGGTTTCCCTTTTTTTTTTAAACATCATTCCTGTTAGATCAGTATTTCCTCAAATGAGTGAGGGGAAGGGCGCGGTGACTTCCTAAAGGAAAGTATTTATATTTTTAGACCCAAATCTGCTTTTACAAAGCTCTTCTTAAAAAAATGCACAGAAAGAGAGTTCTGAACTACAAAAGGTACATCTTAAACGGTAGTTGTCAGTTTAGCTTATTAAATGTAACGTTTATGAGAACGTTAAGACCGATTTTGTTTTAAAAGATGACCAGATTTTTTTTCCTGTGTTTTAGAATGTCTGCCTCACCTTCACTACCTCCCGAACTCTCTGGCTTTCCAGTCCAGGGTGGCGGCCCCGTTCGGGCTGCGAGTAACGGGCCGGGGAGGAGGCCCTGCCGGTGGGGAAGGAGGCAGAGAGACACGGGAGAGGCGCTCTCCTCTGGTGACACAGCCCAGGCGGTTTGTCATGAACTTCGGACACGTTCCAGTCCCAGGGGGTTCTCGAGGTCAGCCTGTCCAGTGTTCCTCGTGTTGTCTGCCACGTGCGCCAGGGGGTGGGGCCCGGAGTCCACGTGCCTGACATGCAGCCCAGCTGTGTTCGGCCAGTGCCCAGGTGGGTACAGCGGCCCATTTCACGAATGAGCAGTCGGTGATCCGAGAGGTCATGGACCCCAGACCCGCGGCCAGTTGTACAAGGAGCCTGAGGCATGCGCCTGCGAGTGACGCTGTGCTGGGCGGATGGAGCTGTGGACAGGCACGCGTGGCCTCTGTGACATGCTCGATGGGGCTCGGGGAAGACATCCCCTAATGTCTCTGTCCGTCTTCCTTCAGGATGTCATTCTGAAGCCCATCAAAGAAGACATGAAACCTTTATGTCTCGGCTGTGGGTAAGAAGTTAGCGTAACGACACCAAAGCTAAGGGGAAGTGACAATGGGTAACCGTGCGTTTCTGAGCAAACGTTGACAGTGGGGAAAGAGGTGGCGTGGGATTGCGCAGGCCTTGGCCAGGTGCCCAGAATGGGGGGGGGGGAGTCACAGACCACACAGGGAAGACAAGCTGGAGGGTAGGAACTTTGTTCTCTAATTTTTTATCATGAAAGTTTCAGATATTCAAGAAATTTAAAATGATAGCGCATTTCTCACCCAGATACCATCTATCTTAAAATTTTAAAAACAGCCCTGGCTGGTGAGGCTCAGTGGGTTGAGCACTGGTGTGCAGACCAAAGGATTGCCGGTTTGATTCCCAGTCGGGGCACATGCCTGGGTTGCAGGCCAGGTTCCCAGTAGAGGGTGTGCAAGAGGCAACCCCACCTTGATGTTTCTCTCCCCCTCTTTCTCCCTCCCTTCCCCACTCTTTAAAAATAAATAAATATTTCAAAATAAATTTTAAAGATATATCCCCACATTTGCATCATCTAATCTGTGTGTGTGTGTGTGTGTGTGTGTGTGTGTGTAGTCGGGACCAAGGATGTTTCTAAGAACACAGACTGCAAGGTGGGGAAATGACCAGGTGCAGTGAGGGAGGTCAGAAGGGACACCAGGTCACAGAGGCAGGGAAGGGGGGCCAGACCCAAGATTCCTGGGATTCAGGCTCTGTTCTTCCCACTTACAGTACATCCTGTTATTAACGGCGATGATTCATACCTGACACTTTGATCGCAGTTCTGAGCGTGCCGGTGTGTCTCGCATAATGCCTGTTATTTCCAGTGCCGTTCCACCTGGTGTCAGAGAAATGGGGAAATAACAGGGGAGGGAGAGCACAAGGGGCAGGCCCGTCCTGAAGGAAGAGTGTTTCCAAGGAGTTCAAGCTCAGAAGATGAGGAGTTGCTTTTCTCCTGCTGACTTTAGGCTTCTTCTGAACTTTCGAACAGGAAAAGCTGGAAAATTAATTTGGCTGTCGGCTTGCAGGAAGAGCCACAGCACTCTGCAGGGCTGCCTGGATTTTCTGCTCTCTCTCGGGTGCTGGGACCTTGAGGGACACTGACCTGCTGCCGCTGTCGTTCCAGCCGCTTGGCTGTTTCCACTTTCTGTAGGGCCCTTCCTCCCATCCTCCCCACTGGGGTGGGTGCCCCTCAGCCCCGCCCCCAGCCTCCAGGCCCCGCCCCCACCCCACTCAGGGCTTATTCCTAGGGTTACCTGTTCATTTGTCTCCCCCACCGAATCCCTGCCTTCACAGTGATGGAAGCTGTGTTTGAAATGCCGTTAGAGTCTCGGGACTAAGTTCAGTCCCCGCCACTCGAGGACATGCAGTAGTATTTGAGGAATGAAGCACCAAAAACCACAAACGTGCAAAGATTTAATGTCGTAAGGTTTCCACACACATGGACTAAAGTGCAGCAGGGTTTGTTGTTGTTTTCTTTTGCGGTTTGTTTTCCAGGAGGGAGAGGCCAGTGGGGGAGTTTGGCAGATACCTGAGCACGAGGGGAAAGGCGGTCTGCCGTGCAGCTGAGGCAGAGGCTTAACCATGTTGGAAGGTGGCCCAGGGGAGTATCTGCGGAGCTGAGGATGGATTTTTTTTTTCAGACAAAGACTTCATTGAACTCCGTGCTGTAGCAGCATCGGGAAAGGAGGGTACAAGCTGGCACAGAGGGAGGGAGCCCTGGGGCAGAGCCGTGAGGGCGGGCAGAGTGGGCAGCACCGCAGTGCTGGGCTCTAACCAACAGCAGGGGAAGTGATTAGTTCACAATAAGCTGAAACTCTGTGTACAGCCCGGCCAGGTCCTTTCCAGTCTCTAAAGGAAGAGGTTTCCAGAAAAAATTTTCGAGCTACAAAGGCAGAGAGAACATTTCATTCTGGCTCCTCTGATTAGACCTGATTCTTATTCCTGGAACAGGGAGTGCATCTACATTAAGTGTAAAATGAAGTGCTCTGCACACTAGCGTTTGTGCAATGTGTGTGTGTGTGTGTGTGTGTGTGTGTGTGTGTGGTTACTGTGGCTGGGACATGTGGAAAACAACCGTCTTGATTCTGGACAACTCACCCAATATTTCTACTCTTTGATCTGATCAGTTTATGCCTGTTTTAGTATTTTTTTTTTTTGAGTCACACTTAAAATGCCCTCATGAAAGTTGGGAAGAAGGTACTTTCTCACTGAGGAAAAAATGAACTTAGTAAGCAAAATAAAAGGGAAAAATGGAAATTGGAGAAAGTACAAAACTACTAGTGAGAATGAAGGAATTCCTGAGAATTTCTAGGGTTTGGGGAACCAGAAGGCAGTGCCAGGTCAAGTCAAGGTCACAGGACCCTCAGAGTGCTGGGGCGGGGGATACACAGCCGGCCAGGCCCCAGCCGGCCGGCCCAGGACAGAACGGGAGTGCAGGGTGCTGACGCTTACAGGCATTTGCTAAGTGGATTTTCAAATCCCATTAAGTGGGGCCAGAATTGTAATAGCTTCCAGTTAAGCTTTCAGTTGAAACCTGAGGCCTGAACGTTGACTTATTCCCACGGCTTTGTTTAAAGCATTACACAAAGCAAAAGCAACAATAAAGCAATTTGATGTCCTTAGAATTCTTGAGCAGGCGAGCTTGGTCTGCCCGAGGTGAGACTATTGACAGTTCAGCACCATTTGTTCTCTCGAGTTTCGAGTTTTGAAAGAGCGCTGTGCAAAATCTCCATCTCCTGGACTTCAAATAAGGTCTTGAGCTAATCAGCTGCCTTGTGCTGGAAAGGTTCCCGGCTGATGTGAACAGAAGAACACACACTCATAGGCTTGAAGTGAAAAATCTCACATGGGAGAGATGCTGGTAAGAGTTTCCTGGCCCAGGAGAGGTGAGGGGCCACTGAGGACCCCGATCCTGGAGATCTGTGCTTCTGTAGACTGACTCATGGGGTAAGCATGCTTCTGCACGTGTGTGGGATGGGAAGCACATTACGAAGAGCTGTTTCAGGGACCCATCTTCTCTGTGTCGTAAATGATACAAAGATTGGGTGGTAAGGTGAAAAAAAATTGATCGCTGTAAGTTCTGTGTCATTTGTCATTATTATAAGGATCCATTAAGGGAAGGAGAATTGGTGTACACCTATGTCATGCTCAGCAATGTCAGTACCAACACGACTGTAAAAATGTAGACTACATCTGAGAAGTTGGTGGAGTCAGCCAACTTCCTCCAAGGGCTGGTACCCCGTAGACGAATGTTCTGCTAACTCTCTGAACACGGGCAGCGACTCTGTTGCTCTTTCTAGCAGGAGAGATACAGGCTTAGGGGCTTTCTGACTCTGATAGGGAACTGCCTGACCATTCTGTTGGGCTGTGGCGGTCCCTGTCTACAGTCGCCTTCTTGCCCTTTTCCATTTGTTCTGAATTTAGAGGTGGTCTTCCCAGAACGAGTTCGGTTCATAAGGACGCAGCACGTCTGCAATTGTCTGCCTCGTGACTTACACTGTAGATGCACGTTCCCCGAAGAGCGTCTGTAGTCACAGAACATCCGGCCCCAGTTGACAAGACATTTACTTATTAATTTTCTCCAGAACCATGTGCAAATTCCTCTACCTGGCTTCTGTGTTCCTGGTCTTGTGCACTATACTTTGGAAAACATGAGCTAAGAGCTGTAAGTTGCCCTGCACCTGTAGGTGGGCGGGCGGGTGGAAAAATAGATAGATGGTAAAGGTGCCGTACAGATGCACTGTTCTCCAACAATGTGAGAGTCGGGCTCATCTCACTGATCCACCTACAGACACGTTCCTGCTTCATCCTGTACTATATTGTGAATAATATTATGTATCTACTTTTAGCTTAGTTTTCCTTTTTTTGGAGTGTGTGTGTATTTAAATACCAAAGTAACACCTACTCGTTTTAAAATATAAAAACAAATACGGAGCAGGATAAAACAAAATGTCAAACTCTTTATCAGTTCTTCTCAAGCCCACTCACCAATGGCAATGCCTACTAATTGCTTGGATCTTGGCCGAAAGCAGGTGGTGATTGAGGATGGTTTTATGAAGGTGCTATTGACAAAGGAGTGGGCAGAGTTCAGAAACTCACCCAGGGACAGCGAAGCATCCCCAGGGTGACAGTGGCAGGGGCTCTTACAACTGTCCTAAACCTCTAGGAGCAAAGTCAGGGGAGGGTGCTCACCCAGCAAGACCAGCCATCGTAGAGAAGGGCCTGCCAAGGAACCATGGCCTTGAGTAAAGGAACACACTAATGACCATCCCAGGACCTGGCCAGGAAGAGCTGAGGTTGCAAGTACCCCATTCTCTCTCTCCTCTTGGCCTCTGTGTCTTGCTAATTTATGCCATTGGCCAGCTCTCACTGGGAATAAGTGGGCAAGAGAGCCTGCTGGCAGCTGGGCTCTTGGGTGGACAGCAGGAGAGGAGAGGATGGAGCAGAGATGAAGGAAGTCCATCAGGTTGCACAGGCGGCTTACCCAGAGGCTCGGGACAGCCCAAGCATTTGCAGATTCCCTGGGTTTCCTCTGGGCGCAGAGGCAGCCTCCGGGGAGGATGATCCCTGAAAGCCGAGGGCCTGGCAGGGCAGATAAGCGCCTGTGGATCTGAGCCTCTCAAGACAAAGGGCAGATCTGAGCGACAGATATTGCCTGCGGTGGTGTTTTGATGTATAGAGTCTGGCTCATCAAATCCAGGTGGTAATTGCTTAGATCCTCGGGCCACCGAGCAAAGATTTATGAAAGATCATTTACCTCTTCAGGGTTGCAGGATAAAACGAGAGTGTTTCCCTTGTGGGGGATACAGCGCTGGGGCTCCTCTGACTGACTTCAGAACACGGCATTGCTTCTGATCAGCTGGGTCCCTCCCCCCGCATCGCCATGTGGTAATGATGGTAGAGATAATGGACAATTCGGTTAGATTCTGGGTCATGCCCCAATTATGGTCGAGGAAGCTTATTTTATTTTCAGTGTAATTTCAATTGTTTTTAATCTTACCCATGGAGTTGACTAGGATAGACTTAGAGGGGTTAGTGATTTACAAAACGGACCACGCAGCCCTAGGGTGGAGTTCAAGGGCTTAGGGGATGGCAGTGTGCCAACAGAGAAATCGCATGTTCATAGAAAGCTTTCGACTACCACATTTTTTAAAAAAGAGGACATCTATGTCCTCTTTTTAATCCGAAACAAATAAATGTTTAGAAGTTAATTACTCCATCTTGAATCATCAAGTATAACTAACTATACATAACACTCTTCTACACTCTTTGGTTAGTCACATTTCTAAAGCAATTAAGTGGAAAACAGCCCGAGAATCTAATTTTATTTATAACTGAATGTCCGATACAGATGTTTCAAAGTTGTGCTTTTCACAAACACAACGTGAAATAGATCACTAAGCTTTCTCTTGTGAATGACTGTGTTTCTGCCTTTTAAAGTCTGCATGTTTCTGGTAGCAGTTATCTGATCAACCAGAGCGTTTTCCTAAAACTGTCTATTTTTAGCTGGCCT